TATGTATGTATGTATGTATGTACGTATGCGTGTGTGTATGTATGTGTGTATGTATGTACGTATGTATGTATGTGTGCATGTATGCATCTATACATGTGAGTGTACATATATGTGTGCATGCATAACATTTGAACGGTATTGCAGATCTGATAGCACGACTTAGCTGGATCAACTGGAAGAAGCTAGGAATCAAGCCAGTGAGCTGATCAGTAATCCAAGCTTGTGATGCACAAATGGGATTATTTATGCACAGATTTTAGACAAAAAAATAGTAAAATTTGCAGAATTTGTTATAGATCTCGTGTTTTTCCTCCAAATACTTGTTCAACACCCGTTAAAATTGCATTTAGACTGAACGGATCATCGGGATTCGTGCAACGAGATCCGATCAGGGAATCCTGAAAATGACATAGTGCAATATTTCAGTCAATTGTGTTACAAGTGGTTTAATATTACAAAGGAAGTTTTCATGGCTGGAATCGACTTTTCTATCCTGTTTTGGGGATGCAAAAAAAGAAGTTTTAGGACCGCGCTTCTTTTGTTTTTATTAGTTTGAATAAGTATGAGATGAAAACCTAGGCCGTCTACATTAAATCCGATTACGATAAATTACCTGTTTGTAACCGCACAAACACTGACATGTACCGAAGCGACACTCGGAAAAGTTTGGACATTGCCTGCTACTAACGCATCGTTGACCCAAGTGCACCCGTTGCATACACTGATCCATGACAGAGATTTCATCGATCCCACAGGTTTTTTCACATGTTGCAAATCGACCATCATTACTCTAATAAACGGAGCAAGTGAAGTAAACAAAATAAAAAGTGTGCTTGTATCAGTATAACCAAATGCGCGGCCAGAATTTGTTTAAAGATGAACTTATGAATAAAATTTTTGTCGGAGTTGCCGGATTTTTAGCAATTTTGGTTTTATCTTTCAGTAACAGCTAATAAAAAAAAGCATCTTCTGACCCATTAGACATACATTGTTATAGCTCTGACACTTTGACCAGCTGATACTTGAACATCGCGTATTTTGTCATCATTTATATCAAGAACATCAAGACCGTTCAGACAATAAGTTGGTAAATTCAATTTCTATTTTGAGTCTTCTTATCCGCACCTTTCCATATAACCATTCCTCCACTAAACTACATCAAGACATAAGACCTTACAGTACACACTACGTTTGCTGTTAGCAGCGAGCGGTTCTACTACTGTTCCCAACATTTACTGAAGAAACTGTTTTGAAATTGGCTACAAAGCGGTCGCAGCATGGATTTGCGCTTGCTAGGCGTAAAAGCGAAGTTATTTTCCTGAAATATCCCTGCGACGTAGTTCACGGCTATCAAAAATAGTAAAAATTCTTTTTATTCGAGTGATCCTTTTAGGCAGTTTGCCACTTTTGCTATCTCATTTGGTAATACGCAAAAAACTTACGGAATGAAAGCCTGCCTTGCACTGACATACTCCCAACACACAGTTCATGGTTACACCTCCTTCGCACTGTAAAAAAGAAAAAAAAAAA